TTTCTCTTAACCTTTTATTTACATACACGATGCCTCCAATGTGTACTCCCCTTGAAGCAAGTATACACAGAAAAATCAAAGAAATGGTAGGTCATGTAACAACGATTGCTAAACATTGCTAAAAGTGACTATTACTGGTAATTATTTTTATTATTATACATTATATATATATTCATTATTATGAATGGCACTTTTTTAAAAAACAAAAAGTTAAGATGTATTGTTTGCTCACAATGTAGGGTTTTTCCCGCTCATACCTCTTAGAAATCAATATCCATCTTTTAATCATCTAATTCAGTAACTTAGTTCTTTTTTTTTCATGCTTTAGTGTTTTTATTCCTATCTCCTGGAGGTTTCATCTGTTCTGCTCAGCAGTGTTTTCTGCTGGTGGCTAGGAGCTGATTCACTGCTGCTTCTCTAAAGACATGGCTGTTCCTGTGGCCAGTGACAGAAAATTAGGTAGCTGTTCAATATGTCTGAGAAAGTAATTGCCATTTATACCATCTCTTGGATAAGAGGGATATCTCAAAGGAAAGCATCTTTCTGAGAGATCTTCAATGCATAAGCTCTTTTTTTTCCAGATCATTTTTAACTTTAATTCTTCACAAGATTATTTAAAAGTGAGACAAGTAATTTAGAAGTTTGAGGGAGTTTGGGGAGCATGASATGGAATTTGAAGTGTTTCAGGGAGAGACTTGCTAATACAAAATCCTTCTCTAAATATTGGTATTGAGTAGCAAAGCTTTGTTATTAGTTACAGCTGTGCATGAAAACGTGTTAATTTTGACAGTATCTTTTGCAAATGTCTATGAAAAGGATTTAGAAATGTCTGAAAAATAGAAACTCATACGTAAGGTTCACATAATAGTCAATTATTTTAATATATTTTACAAGAGGAAAAAGTTATCCTTCCTTGTAGAAAACTAGTATAGTCCATGGATTTCCTGTAATAGGTCTTTTAATGGCTTTATTATGAATAACCATGGCAACAATGAAACAGAACTTTGATACCAGCATAAAGAATAATGATTCAGTCTGAGTCCAGAAACTTCCACAGATTCATCAAAAATATTAAATGGTAAGAACAGAAATTCTGAGAGACTAGCAAGTTGAGCAGAGAAGTGCATGAAGCAGAAGAAAAGCAGAGAGGATTAAGCGCAGATCTGTTACGGTGTTTTATTAAGTAAAACACGAAAAGGGATATCTGAATAATAGATAGAAAGTGGAATTCCTGACTAAAAAGGCCTCAGAAATTAAGCTGGGGTAATAAGGTTATACTGATAGAAATTCAGAATCTTTTTCTATGAGACAAGCTACTCGGTCTGTAGTAAAGGAGATTCTGCTCTCCTGTGCATTTATACATCTATGAGAATCATTACTGTATGATGTTGTAAGGACCCACGTCTGTGGTTCTCTCCAGCACCATATGTGTGCTTACTGTTTTATAAGTGCATAGATAGAAGAATCTAGAAGATTTCTTCATTTTACTGCTTTGCTCAGTTGTAAATCAAAAAAAAACTGAGAGAAGAAGAGTCATATTTCTCATGCTCCAAAAAGAGCATTTTCTTCTGGTCCATGAAGTTGGTACGCAATTTCAGCAGAATCCTCTTCAGGTTTGCGCTGAATAGTTGTTCAGGGGCTATTTTTTTGTTCTTTATATCTATATTTTAATAACAGAAAGAAAAGAAAAAAGAAAGCAATCACTTAATACTATCGTTGCTTTTTTTTTTTTTTTTGCTGTGAGGACAAGCAACAGCACATGGTTAGAGGTCACTCGGTACAAAATTGTAAGATCCTTTTACAAAATTGTAAGATCCAAAGTTTCCTTTGAGAAGTGAGCTCTCATCCAAGAACACTGTAATACCAATTAAATGATCAAATATTTGAAAATTCTTTAATGCAAAATACATGAAAAAGGGACTCTTAAGGTTCACAGGAAATACTGAATTTTGTGGGGACCACCTTGCAAATGACTGCCATTCTCTCTATTGTTAAAGGGCTGATGCTGAATTCTTTGACAATCGTTACTTCAATTATCCAAGAGCTTTTTAAGTGTTTCAGAAGTTTTGATTATAGCCAACAGCATCCTAAACTAGGCCAGGAATAAAAAGATAACACGCAGGTTGTGAATAAATGAGGAGGCTTTCATATGACAGTGAGGAACCTTATGAAAGGCAAATGTTTGTTTGCTATATGCACACATCTGCACCTGTTTATTTATATTTATAGGTGAATTCATAATGTATTTTCAAACACTGTGACAGAAACTCTCTGTTGGTGTGAATATAAAATTCTGCTGAAGTTTGATGGAATTTTACATGTTTATACCACCTTTAAAAGTGGTTGCAGGTCAAAAAAAAAAAAAAAAAAAAATGCACATGCATACATGTATGTACATACCAAATCAGAAGATCAGAAGATATGAATAGATTACATTCTTCATATATCCTCTCTGTCTTCATCTGAAAAATATACAAATGTAAACAATAAATTGAAGCAGTAACAGATTTAAGGGAAAAMATATAGTTCCTTTCTTTCTTTTTTTCCCCTTTTTTCTCTTAATATCTAAGGATCACTGACTGTTACCCCTTTTGCCCATCTGCTGAAACTCAAGTCACAAAATGCTCTCAGGTCATCCCAGTGCCAGACGAATGGGAGGACCCTAGGGAGGAACATCTATAAGGATAGGTAATATGCAGCCCTCATCAATAGATACGGTGAAGCCTTTATTAATGAGGGGTTAAAGCCTCCCTGTCAACATCTGGCAAACCCTCCTTGCACTCCAATACTCGCTGATATTGACATCCAGTCAGAAAAGCCTGAATTTGTCATTCAGAAGACCCTATTAATTTATCAATGAATGAATTGCTTTGGCCTATGCTAGGGGACCTTTTATTTAGCCAATGTTCTCGCTCTCACTCTGACTTCTTGATTTTGCCTGTCTAGTTTTCCATTTATTAGATGCGCTTTTGATGCCCTAGGTCTAACTAGCTGATATATTGTGTTCTCATGAAATAAAATGAAATGAAAAAATCACTTCTTTAAAAAAAAAAAGAAAAGAAACAAAAAAGAAACAAAAAACCCTACTTGTGAGTCATTTGACTCTTACCTTCCAAGATTATCTGTCCAAGATTCAGGTCTTCTGTAAAAACATGGATTCCATGGCTGTTTCAAAACTTACTATCACTGATGATGGAGGCCTGTGGATTGAGCTAGTCTCCTAATAAAGCATATGTGAGGACCAAAAAACATTATGGGCAGATAATGGAAAGAAGGAAATCAATAACAGATTTGAAGTGAAAGCAGTGATTTTTACTTTTTCTGAGGAAAAGACTCCTCAGAGGAAGAGAGATGAACTGAAAGTACTCATAGAATAAAATTCATGTCTCTGAAGAGTCAGGAATGTTGTTAGAAGAGGAAAATGTTACAAGCTTTAAGAAGTATAAATAATGCTTGTTAAGTAAATGTGCCTCCTTTGTCCTTGGTGCTATTGCATCTGGTAAGATAGAAACAGAAACGTTTTTTTCTCCCAAAATGTGAGGTTGAGGTAGAAGGGAAAAATGTCACTTTACTGCCTTAATAGAGGAATGTTTTATACTATGTAAGAAGTAAGTTTGCTGAACATGTCATTCCTTCTTTTTTCCTGTATCTTCATAATTAAAACTTACTGAAACTGTAGTTCAGTTAGTGGGGTTTGTAGAGGAAAATAACTTAGTTTTATTACTAACATTAATCTGAGAAAATAACAGCAGGATGCTGACAGTATTATTATATTAGAATGTACTTAATTAAACCTGATTGTTTCAATGACATTTTCTGTTTATGCTCAGTTTAAGCAGCCTCAAACAATGAGGGAAAACATTCTTTTGCTTTGTGCACGGAAGAACAAATGTATGTTGTTGTGTTTGAACCAATCCGAACTGCATAGTGGCGTAATACTTATATTGCATCGTAAAATTCTGTAGAATTCCTCGACGAATATGGTTCATGTCCACGTGAGGAGAGCAAACCCATTAGCTGACATTGATATTTTGTTTGTTTGTTTGTTTTTAACACATCCTTGAAATAATCATGTGAAGTTGTGTAGGGTATGAGTGGTGCAAGCAGTGGAAGAGAAAAGTAAACTGATGTCATAGATTATGAATGCAGATTAATTTTTAAGCCTCTAATTCCATAGCAAAGATTATCCTTTATCAGCTTCTCTGTGAACTGCAAATGGATTTTGTAACTTGGTCCTGATTATTTACACTTTTAGTTACAGCAGTACCACCAGAGTCTTGATAAGAAGTCTAATTAAATATCCCTGTTGCCTGCAAATGCATTTTAAGCAAATTCCAGTGAGATCTTTATTAGAATGAGATACTATTGTTTTGTTTGGGGATTTCTTGATCATTTTGGAGATTTATTTTGTTTGCTTGTTTTGATACATGTTGCCAAGCTTCAATAATCTGCATAGCTTTCCTTGGAAAAGTGTGTAATTATAGTGAAAGAAATCACTCTAGTTGTCTAGCAGTGGTCACACTGATGCTTATTTCTGCTTGGTACTTTCTGTCTTGTGCATACAAGATTATACTAACTCTTGATTATTGTGTTGTTAAGAGCTGCAGCGAATTTAAATTGCTTCTCAATGGTGTTGACACTGTCATAGAAACAGAATGTAAATGTGAAGGCTAGAAATGCATAGAGCAATTTCTAAATACCCTTTCTATAATGACAGCCTTATAATTCTTTTCAGTTTCAAAGTTCATGGATTTTCTTGCATCTCAGGAGTTGCCAAAATTGACACATATGAAAGAAATAGAAGTAGTCTTTACAAGTCTACGAAAGAGTGAGACTAGTTGGTATCTATGAATTGAAGAATTAGTAGTATGGAAATAATTGATGTCCTTAGATTTTTCAAGCTTTTAAAATAAAATATTATTAGATAACTTAGGTAACTGAATGTTTGTAACTTTCACCTCTAAGGAAATGCTAATGTAATCTGTTGCTTTTATTTGCAGATTTTCAGGCGATGCTGGTTGGTTTTCAAGAAGGCTTCTAGCAAAGGACCCAGGAGGCTAGAAAAATTTCCAGATGAGAAGGCAGCGTATTTCAGGAACTTCCACAAGGTAAATCAAGCTCTTCTAGTGAAATGAGGCACTGTCTGTTTACCCACTCTTCCTTGGAAAGATCCTATTCTTGATATGACAGGTTTGAAAATGATACTGCAGGAAGCAGGTTGAAAAGCATAACCCTGACAGGAAAAGCACAATAAAATTTCTGTAAATATCARTGGTGAAGGTTAGATCTCACCCTGTTTGTTTAGATGAGCAAAAACCCACAGTTTGTGTTTCTGGAAATAATTTTTTTACCTTCATATTGCCTAGAAAATACTACCATTTCACGTAGTATTTCAGAATAAATTTGATTGCTTAATCRAATGTTTAACTACTACTTATTAATTAAGTATAAAACTAGTTATGATGATTAATCCGTCACTTGTAATGTTGACTCTGGTTGAATATGTAATGGCTTTCCCAGAACTCYTTAAGATTTATAAGCTCTGTCAATAGCAAATCTTTTTTAAGGGTAAAATTTAGCCTCTCTAGAAGAAAAGTATTCACTGGATAACGTTTTGCCTACTTTCTTGTCATCACTTCAGTGATGGAAAACAGGAGATTTTTCTTTCTATCTGAAAAATTATTGTTACCAGATTTCCAAGTTATGCAGAAGACTTCAAATAAGGCAATAATAAGAAACAGCAGTGCTTGATGCTTCTGCAGTTTTGAATTTTGTCCAGTTGCCTTTTGGCTTCCCAGGGATATCAAGATTGGATATTACCTTACCACTAGTGAACTGAAACATGGAAGTGACTTAACCATGGTTAGACACCAAGCAGTAAAAGATGAAAGTGTAGATTTGTTGAAGCCAGGAGTATTGCTTTTTATCATAAAATAAATTAACCTTTGAATTCCAATGAACTCTTGACATCTTTAAATGAAAAGTGTACATATAATAAGTAACATGCAATTATCTCTTGTATATTTTCCATCAACAATGGCAAAAATACCCTGATAATTTGGTATCATCAAAAATCTAACTTTTGATCCGATGCTGACATTAGGGTTTAGAACTGACTTGTACTGGACAATCGTCACTTTCACTAATGCAAGTCAGTGACATTTCCTCCCATGTATCAACATCAAGCAAAAATGACTTTTCTTCAATATAAGTTTCAAAAACTTGTTACTTTCCAGATGGGAGTGATAATAGACCTTTAAAAGGATGAATTGATTTGTTCGTGCCCGATAGCTCTAAGTATGACTGAAATCCGCTATGAAGTTCTTATAGATTAGCAACAGGGCAGAAGGAAGAAGGTGTAGGGTGTTTTTGTTAGAAGCAGAAGGAAAGGGGGATATTTGTGGAGTGTTTGGCTAATATTCTACTTACATGTAACAGGATTCAGAAACACTTTATGTTCCTTGACAACACTCGTACAAAAAACAGATGACATGCAAGAATCATTTGGGAAGCTACAAAAATARCATAGATGCAGCAGCATGCAATGATACTGCTGATGGAAGATCTCATTAGCATGACCCTTTTCATGTGACACAAGTGAATGGGAAGAGTGTTAAATCTTTTTCTTCTCTTTTTTTTCTTAATCCATTCCTAAACAGTGAAAGCAAATGGAATGGAAAGAATAATCTCTCCTATTTAAAACAATATTGAATTTTTGGCTGTGCAGAAGAGAGAAACTTGTTCATTTGCTGGGATGGTATACCCTTTCTCAAATGAAGTCATGGAATCATTTCTTATGGTGTGTTATCAAAAAATAAAAGCCTGCATCTCATCTTCATGTTGATCTTAAAGGATATTTTATTACTTCAAAGTAATATTGATTGTTTGAGACTTTTCACCTCAATTGTTTCCATATGATAAATGAAATAGTGCCAAAGGGGATGTCAGTGAGTTCTTAATTCCAATTGTAACTATTTGTGGGAAGAGTAATGGTCATCATGGGAGAAAATAGTTATTTGACAGCTGATACTAGATCAAATTATCCAGGTTCTTTCTTTGTTAGAGCTGTTCATTTCTTTGTCGTATTTTCAGATAGGTTTGTATTGTTACAAAATACAAAATCTTAGCATTGTTTTGAAGCTTTGTTTCCATACTTCCTCACAGAAAAGAAGGAAGACATTTATTGTGCAAAGCTAAAGAAGGATAACTAGACTCTTAAGAAGCAACAGCAAAAGAAAATTGATTAAAAACTTAAGAAATCAAAGCACTTGTGTTTAAATAAGATTAAATAAGATTAAAATAGTTAAAATATACTCGCTATAAAAGGGCTAGGTATTATTTGAAATGGTGCTAAGTGCTGACCATATGCTAACATGCTATTATGTATTACATATGTCAACACAGAGATCCCATTTTTCAACCCATCTCTTAATGTAACAAGTAGAAGAGAGGGGGTGGTGCAGAGCAGCCTGTGTTGTTCAGGTCAGCCTGTGTTGTCTTGGGGGAGGATATATGTGTACAAGTGTATTGCTCTGACTTAAGTTTTTGGGTGTCCATTTTCTAGCTGTCTCTTGTTGTGGGTTACTGGAAGAAATTCTTCCTGTCAAGGGAAAAATGAACAAAAATTAGTGCCATTGTCCCACTTCAGTGTCCAGGAATGCAAACAAATCCACAGGGTAGTTTTTGCTGCTGATGTACTGATATATTCACTAAGTAACTCATAAAGATCTTAAGCGTCTCTGCTTTTCCAGTGGTTATTTTTGCATTAAATGAAGCTCAAATCAAGTCCTCTTTAAACCATTTCACCTACATAACTAAATGATCAGTATGGAGTTTTATTGTATAAGTGTAGGAGACTGAGCTATAGGAAGGCTCTTAGGCTAAAAAAGGAGGGAAAAAAAGGAAAGAAAAAAGCACTAATACTACAAAGTGAGGAGAATAGAAAATACATGTTTTCTAGTTTACATATCCTAAATAAATATTTATTAATGTGGAGATGAACTATCCTCACTTAAAAAATGGACTTTTTAATTTGGTGATATTCAGATGATATATGGGTTCACTTTTTGTTCTGTAAATTCTGTAATGCTGGTATATATCACTTTATGTTTTCTAGTGATTTTCCTACTATAAATTATGACCGTATATAACTATAATGATATTAGTCTTGGGATACTGGCAGTAACAGTGAACATTGCATTCATTAGTTGAAACATGACTTCATCTGCTGTTTCCATTTTCAAGCATCAAAATCTAACTTTTCATTACTGTAATACCATTCAGAAAATCTCTCTTTTTCTCCTGCCTTTTTGCTTGTGTACAAATTTGAGAGAAATTTTGAGAAAAATTTAACCAGTTTTATTTTGGTAGGTAATATTTGATCTCTTACTACAACATTTCATCCTTTTCTAAAAAAAAATAAAAAAAATTGTATGAAATGGATACAGAATACTTCTAAAAAACATTCTAATTAAGTAAAAGGGTACAATTCAGTAGAAGTCTTCACAGTGAAATCAAGCAGAGAGCTACTTTCCTAAGACCTTAAGACTTAAGAATAAAAAGGTTCAGTAGATGCAGATCTTAGATAAGATTACAAGAACATCACYTTGTTTTAGAAGGATTTTTTAGTGGAAGGGTGAGGGTTTTGTTCCCTTAGTTTTTGGTTTGTGAGTTTTTTACATTAGTCTTTTTCCTCCATTACAAAATAGATTTTTTTTTTTTTTTTTAAATCTAGGGTAAGCTTAATTCTTGCTGGGGTACTGAATGTACTGGGGTACATTCTTGCCYCAGTAAGTTATAGCTTAGCTGTACTGTTCTCTCTTGAACATTTGCTGTAGAGATTGTGGTTCACAATTTTATTTACTTCCATTACTCTTGTGAGGACATAAAATGCAGTAGTTCTACACACATTGTAGTTACACCAGTGTACAGAATGAACATGTTTTCTCAGATTAGCAGATTAGCAATCTCATTTTTGCAAGAGAAGTTAACAGTTATGTAAGGAGGTGAGATTCCGTGAAGCTTTCGGAGATGTTCTGCTCAGACAGTACCAGTGCCTGTTATCCATTAGGAGAAGCTCAGAAGAGAATAACAGGAAGCCGATGTGGCTAAGTAGAAATGTGAGAAACGTTGCTAGAAACAAGAAATTGAACCTCAGAAACCTGGACCTTTATCCAAACAAGCTAGAAAGGAATATAAAGTTGGGCAAGCTCGTTCTGAAAACAGACCAAAAAAAAAGAGCTAGYAACTAGCAGATGGAATCAAATCTGGTTCTAAGCATCATTGTGACCCAACGGGAGCAAAGAGCAAAAGTCTGCCAAAGACCCCATACATCCAAATCATGCTTGGTGTATTAAAGAAGTTTGGAGAGAAGGGAATGTCAAAGAGCATGTTTACACTGGAAATTACAGTAGGAAAAGCAACCACAGTCTGGTAGGGGAATGCAAGACAGGCGTCTGCAGACATATCTCAGTATCTTAAACTGGTCATAGACACTTCAAACCCAAGCACACCAGATGGTCGCTAATAAACTATAAAGAACATGTTCACCTAGAAGCGGAAAGGCAGCTTGAGAATAACATAGCAGAATTACTAAAGGTATAAAGGTGGCCCATAAGTTCCAAAATGGGAACCAGTAGATGTGAACTCTTCCACCCCTTACCTTGCCATGTGCTCTAGCTTGTGAAAGCTCCAGTCCAGCTAATGCACAGTGCTCTTCACTAGCAAGTTCACTGACCCTAATGAAGCTGTTGCGAGGTGGATTTGCCTCTGACAGGGCTGCACCCAGAGAAGCTTCAGCCTGCCGACATCATCACTTCATCTCACTTCAAATGTGTAAGTGATGTCTAGCATAGACTTCAGCACTTACAGATTAATTCTCCCAGTATGAGAGACTGTACTGTTAAAACTTTGTTAATAAAATGTCTGTCTAGAGGGACCTGGACAGACTGGACAACTGGGCGGTGAGAAATCTCATGAAGTTCAACAAGGGCAAGTGCTGGGTCCCGCATGTAGGGAGGAATAACCTGGATACCAGTACAGATTAGGGGTTGACCTGCTGGAGAGCAGCCCCACAGAGAGGGACCTCGGTGTCATGGTGGATGACAAG